TATATCGAAAATCCGATATTTTAAAAAATATCAACAGTTTTAGTTTGAACCGATCATTTGGAATAATCAGTTGAACTGACCGTGTGTGACCACCATTAGAGAGGACTAAGATAAATATCACAAGTTCGAATATCGTCTAAATAGGAATTTAATTCCTGATTTTCCGCCATAGGAGTGAAATTTTTTCTTCAAATCTATATGTGACCACTCTTGATATATAACCCATTTAATTAAAAAAAACCATTGAAATTGTTTCACGATTGATGAAGATGTCGCGTAACATACCTACATACATACAAAAAACCGTAAGTTAGTATTGCAGTGGGTACCGTTACACATCAGTTTACAAGGCAATGAGGAGGCTCATAAGCTGCTGAAATTGGCAATCACACAAGGAAGAGAATGTAACATTTATCCCCATTGTTCAGATATTTGGAAAGAATATTTTGATAAAACGTCACAAGAATAGGGATGAAAATGCCGGTGTTGGTTTAATCAATGTCTGTTGAATAGAAAATCTGTTGCATTAGCAATGTGACTTCCTTCCGGGCACATTCCGTGTTACAAGATTGCTCTCATGATGAAAAAGAAACGATCTCCAAATTGCGAAAAATGAAAGACAATAGAAGATATAAGTATAACACTTGCTCGCGGAATGTTCCAAACACCATCACGAAAGGAAACGAACTACTAGTCGGTAGTCGCCAAAACTGACATTAAAATATGTTACATAAGTGAATATCAAAGCATTCTCTCTGAACCACTGTCAAATGCTGCTCAAATGGCTTATCATTCAGTTAGTATTTTGCATAAATAATTTAATAAAATGTATTATGTTATTTAGTTATAAGGTACAAACGGACTGACAAAAGAAAGTTAAAAATAAAGTAAATTAAATTAAAAAAAGGATTTGAAAAAAAAAAACATACAAATAAAATGAAGATAAAGTCGAATTGAGGAGAACCTTCTCCTTTTTGAAGTGTGAACTAATGATCCTTAAAGGAATGTATTACAGTAGTTTTGCCGATCTCTAGTCCAAAATAAAAATGTCGTACTGTGGAAATCGTATAAAGCGTGATGATGTGATATGTACTTTTAAGGAAGAGAGAATGAATTTTACACAACTGGTTAGTTCGCCCACGCGGATTCCAGATGTGGAGGATCCCTGTTGGACCTTCTGCTGACCTCTCACCCGGACGGATATCAGATTTCCGTCTACGCCCCTTTAGGCTCTTCGGACCATCGTCTTGTCCGGTGTGTGGTGCTACTCACGCTGAAATCGCTGTTGCATTATGCAGGCTGCCGCCGTGTTTGGCACTATAGGTTAGCCGATTGGGATAGGATGCGGTCTTTCTTTGCATCCTACCCTTGGGGCGGGTTTGCTTCTCGCCGGACGATCTCAACGTTGTTGCGGATTCTGTCGCTGCTGTGGTACTTCAGGGTATGGAACTTTTTATTCCTTCCTCTGTGGTGCCCATCGGAGGCAAATCTCAGCCATGGTTTGGTCGCTCCTGTAAAATAGCATCATGCTATAAGCTAACAAGCCTGGGCTGATGCATCAACGTCCCGGGATGTAAACACCAGCGCTCTAAAAAAGAAGTATAACTCCGCCTCCAGGTCCTTCAAAAGAGTCATTGCCAAGGCAAAGTGAGAGCACATAGGCAGAATTGGCGAGAAATTAGTTCGCCTTCCTTCTGGAACCCGTGTATTCTGGTCTCTCGCCAAGGCTGTCCAGGGGAATTTCTGTCAGCCATCTCTTCCATCTCTGCACAGGGGAAACGACTCACTGGCCTATACCGCAAAGGAGAAAGCCGATCTGCTAGGCTCTTTCTTTGCGTCCAACTCGATTCTCGATGACGGGGGGAGTACGCCGCCGACCATCCTGCGGTGCGAGTGCTCCATGCCGGAGGTGCAGTTCACAACATAAATGGGCGGAGGCGGTAGAGTCCAAGGGGGATGCATTGGCCGTTAGTTTGGACATTGCGAAGGTTTTCGATCGGGTTTGGCACAAAGAGCTTCTATCGAAGCTCCCTTCCTATGGGCTTCCCGAGAAATTGCGCAATTGGATCACCAGCTTTCTTGCAGATCGGAGCATCAAGGTCGTTGTAGACGGTGCAAGCTCCGATTACAAGCCTATTAATGCTGGTGGTCCACAAGGCTGCGTGCTATCGCCAATGCTGTTTCTTCTGCATATCAATGATATGTTGCAAGCCCGTCACATTCATTGCTATGCAGATGACAGCACTGGTGATGCTCTGTACACCGGCCGTGCCAATATTTCTCGGGAAAACGTCTCCGAGTACCGGGACAAACTTGTGTCTGAAGTCGAGTCTTTGCTGAGCAAAGTCTCGGATTGGGGGCGACTAAATCTAGTCCAGTTTAACCCTCAGAAGACACTAGTTTGCGCGTTAACCGCTAAAAAGAACCCCTTTATCGTATCTCCTCAGTTTCAAGGCACTTGCCTTGTTGCCTCAACAAGTATCGGAATCCTCGGCGTCGACATATCGAGTGACGTGCAGTTTCTTGGTCACTTGGAAGAGAAGGCCAAATTGGCTTCAAAAAAGCTTGGCGTGCTATGCAGAGCGGGACAGTATTTCATGCCGGCACACCGCCTGCAACTTTACAAGGCGCAGGCGCTGGGGCTCCCCAGTGCCAGCTCCTTCCACTTGACCGCATCCAGCGCAGAGCGGCTCGAATCGTCGACGACCGAGTGCTTTCCGTTCGGCTCGATTCACTGGCGCTACGAAGAGATGTTGCATCTTTTTGCATTTTCTTTCACATATACCACGGGGAATGCTCTGAGGAATTGTTCGGATTAATCCCAGCCGCCAAACTTCGTGAACGCACTACGTGGCAAACGTCCCGATACCATCCACACCATCTGCATGCTTGGCGGTCCACCACTGTACGTTTCAGAAGGAGTTTTCTTCCGCGTACGACCTCTCTGTGGAATAGTTTACCACCGGCATTTTTTCCGGGCTGATACGACCTAGTGACTTTCAAGAAAAGAGCTTACTCCTTTCTAAAGGGCCGGCAACGCACCTGCAATTCTCCAGGTGTTGCGGTTGCTCATGGGCGGCGGTAGTCACTTAACATTAAGTGAGCCGCATGCTCGTTTAGAGAATATGCCTGACGGCCACGCATTCCTGGCTCAATCGATACATCTCCGAGTAAAGAATGCTTGATTTTTTTTCATTGTCAAAATCTCACTACTTTATTAACTCTCGAAACTCTATTCTCCAAGGGTTTTCGGTTATGAAAATTAACATTGTAGTTTCGCTACAACGCATGATGAGTGATGACCAATTTTGGTACATAGTGTTTTTGTTTCATATTAGTATATTGTTGTGTACCAACAAGTTTTCAGAGGGCGATAGAATTTCTTGTTATTGGACATTAAGTTAGTAGTGGTTGACAACATAAAGTTCCGTCGTCACCTATATTTCATCCTGCAAGTATAAAAATGGGTATTTTAGGAGCCATCAAAAATTTACCTTCACGTCACTTCAAAATTGTCAAACCTAATACTCTGATCCGTGACGATAAACAGTGTCTGAGATTCGAGGCGTCTTGGTATTCCAGTCGCCAATCCCTCAAATCAAGCGTAGCGATTACGGAATCCTTTGAGAGAAGCTTATAACTTTTTAAAGTGGAGGCATTACACATTTAAATATATTATGTATTGTAAATACGCTAAAAATGCTGTATGATTACCAAAATGATCGTGAATAAACCCCAACTCAGTACAATTATTTAGTGACTATACAAATACGTATGAGAATGTTTAAAATCGCTTAGCGATCTACGAAGAGGAACTCCGAGCGTAGCCCACTCTAAGTTTCTATATGTGTGATTGAATCAATAACGATGGTACAATAGAAGTAGTGTAACCGACTTAGACTGCTAATAATGCTAGTAGGCTGGTAATGGTTTGGCCATATAGCTCTAAGAACCGACAAGCGATAGGAAAGAAAGGTTCTAGAGTCAACTTTGGTGTAAAGGCCTTTGCGTGTGCCTGTGCTAGAAGCTGTCATATTCCAATTCTCTATAATATACTACTCCCACTTCCATAGTTCTTTGTGAAAAGAAAGTTGTCTTTATCTTTAGAGATATTGAAAGTTAGGCTATCTTTATTATAAATAGTGTCGTCAGTACTGGTTGTGAAGGGTTATTATCCTTCGGTTCTTAGAAACTTCTTTAGAATACTCTACTACTTCACATCGCATATATTTATTTCACTCAAAGCTCTAAATTTTTTGCTGTAAAAGAAATATCCTTGAAACTTATACTAACCTTATTTTATTTAATTATTTATTTCCACCAATAATATATGTACATCAAGAGACTATCAAAGAATATGTGCTTACATTTGAAACAATACTTTCGTTACGTGAAACTGGTGCCTAAGCTAGGTAAAACCTGTATCTTAGGTCACCACCTGTGGATCTCCATGAATAAACCTAGTTGATAGATAAGAACAAAAATGTGTTACTTGAGTTGTAAGGTTGTAACCACATTTGTAACAGTATACTAATCCATACACTTGTGACGAAAAACAGTGACAGGCGAGTGTTGAAAATAGATTTTGTCAATGTTATTTTTATATATTTTGATCTTTCGACTGCCTGACATAGGCACTGTCACAGAAAGTGAAATTGTATGGAGGAAAAGCTAAAATTGAGGTTAGATTGTATGATACACAGTTTATCGCGGCGATAAACTGATAAGTGTCTGTATACTTCAACATGGTTTAAGCATTTTACACGGAATTGCGATTGTACCGACAATATAGCGACGCTTTTTTTAACAGTAGGCAAAGGTTAATGATAATCGGATAGATTAATGCCGGTTGTTTAACTCTGTTTAACTCTGTACGCCGCGTCGCTGCAATAGTAGTGAGTAACGCGGACGCAGCGGTATACAAACATTCCCTGAGGTGGAACGACCTGCCTTTGTTAAGAGCCCAGTTACAAATTAAACTTGACATGTGAATACAAAACATGGCCCTGTCTTCGAGTTGTTGGAAATATTTAGTGTTAACATTCAACGTGTTATTTGCTGTAAGTAGATATATATATAAAAAAAACTAGAAACACGATTTTTAGTTGTCATAACAACTGAACTAAAACAACCCCAGGAGTGACAATTTTAAATACAATACGCGATGTACCATTTTCGTTACCTAAAGAGCTAAAGACTTTTATCTTATATCTTATTATTTATTCAATAATAAGACGTTGTTGCTTTTGTTACCCAGTTTCCATAATTCTAATTCTGAAATGAGCGCAACTAAATTGAACTCATGTGTGGTGACTATTTTTGATATGAGATTAATGATTCTGATTGCCTTATCGTTGTCTTTGTTACTCTTACTCCAGTATTTCATAAGTGACAGAGAGATTGTTCTCAGCGAAAACGTTATTATTACTCATGTGAATTAGTCGCATAATGTTTCTTCTAACGTTTATATTTTTCAACAGATGTCAGCAGTAGCGTTGTTCGGCATCAGTGGATTTCTATTATATCGGATGTTTATTTACCGGCACTTCATAGGGGTAAATGTGGAGTATCCAGCAATATTACTACTAATGATGGCGATCATCACATGTTCTATAGCATGGATTGGATGGCGGACAGCGAAGTCTATGCATCATATCCATGTCGTAATGGTACATATAAATTTACCTAAAAAGTATATATAACTTGTAATAATTGATAATTATGTTTAAATTTTACTTTATATAAATATCCATACGTGTCTTACTTTCTGCTCTAGCATTATACATAATTATTTACTTTTAATTCCAACATTTTATTACAGTGCCATCTGTTGATGCAACTTAGTAGAAGTTCATATGTGATTAAACCTCGAATTTTGCAATAAATCACAGATTAGTAAGCAATAATTTAGACGTACATTTCAAATACATTTATCACTAAAATTCATCAATTGACTTTTATCAGGTTTACTTACTATCAGATCCTACTAAATATAAAAGTTATGTAAGCCTAGTTTTAGCTATAGAACTAGATCTTTGAATAGATATCTATAAATAATCAAATAGTTGGATTAAATAATAGTGCTGATTTTCCTAGAACGTTGGGTAATCTTACAAAGTCTTATTCATAATTATGGAGTTTGTTAATCGCTTATGCTTATTTCCAGGCTGGCACACTTATTGTGTTGGTGGTGGTGATAGAGTTCTCGTGTTTCGTTTGGGCAATGGTAGAGTGGGATAATATTGAAATTGACATAAAGAGCACCATGATGAATTATTTTATGGAAACAAGTGAGAGAAAGGATCCGAACTCCGCTGACTCACTACGATGGGATAAACTGCATGTTAAGGTATGTTTTTGTTTTTTAAAAATACGTATAACTGCAGTGGGTAAATGAACCTGGACCGAATATTAATAGTCAATACTCCATACAAATAGTTGTTTCGTGCGTTAATCGCACTAGAGTGGTCAATCAACACATGAATTAGTAAATTTTTCATTAAATTTATTTATCACAACTTGGGATTGGGTGAAATATAATATAACATAGGATCATACTGTACCATCTAGGAATAGGAAGTAGAAAATACTGCACAAAAATGTATTAACAGACAACGACTCTTCTTGAACTTCTATTTAGGAAGAGTCGTTCACACGGAATAAGCTGCGGCATCACAGTCCTTGCGAAATTTGACATCTGCAATTTTTTTTACATTTTAGTTCTCTAATTTACGGGGGACTTCTTTCATTTAACAGATTCTAATTTAAAGCTGGGTTTAATATTTAATAACTATCTTTTAATAAGAAGAGCTGTGGTAGTTAAAGTGCTGCGTGCTCACTGTAAATTTCACAATACGCAAGCAACCCGTTAGATCCCGCCGGCAACAATTAAATTGTTAATTGCAATTTTAAGTGCCGTTTAATTAAATGCTGGTCGCTGAAGGACTGCATCAAAACCTGCATGTCTGAGATACATATTTAAATAAAATATTTGGAAGATATGAGAAGTCCGCTAACACACATTGTCATTTCCTTGCCCTAAAACCCTCTCATAAATGAGAGGAGGCCAGTGCTTAGCAGTAGAACATATATTGCACTTACTATTAAATAAGGATGTTAAACTTGCACGTATTCCACCTATTGGTAAGTGGATGCTGTGGCCAGTATAGATCTACATCCATTCTTGAGAACTACGACTACGATCACAAATTAAAATTTATATACACCGAAAACTAAAATAGAATCTCAAAAAATGAAAATGAAATGAAAAAGATCTCCATACTCACCACACGAAGTACTGCAACATGATAGTCAGTATTTATATTTGAATCAAACACTTTTTTGAGCGATTTTTTTTGCGACTTACCTTTATGGTCATTATCATATGTACCCAGGTAGGCCAGGCAAACAGTCATATTATATTATATATTGTGTAGACCGATATCTTTCAACAAAGTTTCATGATGCATCAAACACTTGATGAAAAATGCGCCATGAGCTCTCGGACCATACGTTATGCTACTATTTTAAGCTGGTATTCTGCGAGAGCGTAGTCCTTCTCCATTCATTCTACAATCATAATACCTCGTGGCTCTACCACGTATAGCCTGTAAATGAAGTTAATTTTTCTAATAAAAAGTCCTATTTATAAACATTTGATCATTCATTACAGTTTGAATGTTGCGGTGTCAGTGGTCCCAGCGATTACACTTCCACGGGTCATGTACCATTCTCGTGCTGCGGTCAAGGTCCTCTGGATTCACTGCACAAGCCTTACACAGCTGATTGCTCCACGTTGTACCAGCGCGGTTGTGGGAAACAGCTGCATGAATACGCGAAAAAACAGTTGTTGTATGTGGCTATGGCGGCCCTCACGGCATCAATATTGCAGGTCAGAACTTAAAGAACAGTCAAAGGTTATAGATTATAGATGCTCCAAGTCTACGTACACGTGCAATCTACGTACAATCGATCTCAATTTGTACCTTTTGAATGTCTGATTGCTTGTGCAAACCTGTTATTTGGCGTAGCGTTAAGTTTTTAACTTATCTCAAAGTTAATAAATACTCAACGCGTAACAACAAAGGAAGGTATCAGCTTCCTTGACGTACAGGGCTGACACAAATGTAGACTCGCATTTTCCTAACAGCGTAGCTATAGCTAACTAAGCGAATAGTACTGTTGTACCTATCATCAATAATGCTTTGTGGAGTAAGGATTCGGTTTGTCTTTCATCTTATTACAAAAAGTGAGTTGATGAGTGAGTTTCGAGTTTAAATAATGGTTTATGAAGAGTCATTCTAATAAAGTCCCATAGCCGCGGCGCCACGATATTTTCTGTCAAATTCCATACTTTACATTTTATTTCGTAATTTTTCGCGGGTCTTAATTCGTGCAACAGATTCAAGTTTAAACCTGAGTCTAAATAAAAATTCCTTTTTGTAATAAGACGATATGATTTTCCATAACTGTAAACATAATATGCCAAGGAATCAAACCATAGACGAATGAAACTTAAGCAGAGTGAAATTCTCTTTCATTTTCTCTGGGTAAATTGATTTAATTAATTCCATTTTTCGCTTGAAGAATTTGCCATTTATAGTAAGAACCTTCGAGTAAAAAAAGTCTTCTTCGTATCATTGAGTATTATAATAAGTTTGTCTTCATCTATATTCTATATCATATTTTGACAAACACTGGACTTGACAATACTCGGAACGAAGCCGCACTTGATAACTCATAATAATAGATGGCGCTATGCGTACTATAATTTTGTTTAGTGAATGTTCAAATAACATAAATGCTTACTTTTACTATATTCACTAAGTTACGTCACGTTATTGGACTCTTCTTATTATCCCTCTTCTAGTCACCAATTCCTCAAAATCTTAAAACAGGAATGTACGACCAGTGCGTGCAGCCAATGATGACATAATATGGAACTGAGATGTAGTCAATCTTTGCTTGCCGTATGAGGATGTTTAGTCTCAAAAGCGGGTTATTTTCGAAGTTTTTCTGCGTGATAGAATCCGTAACGAACTAGAGCAACCGGAATAGCACAAAATATCAGTACCTGAGTTGGAGTGGCTATGGGCAGGTCAACCATATAACTCGAAGACCCGACAACCGATAGGGAACAAAAATTCTCGAGTGGTATGCTCTTACCGGTAAGAGGATTCTAGATGGCTGTCCTACCTGGTGGAGTTATGACCTGGTAAGACATACAAGAAGTCGTTTTCAATTATACTACCTTTCAAAACAATACTGATATAATTTTAGTTTTGCGTCAATTAAAATTCACATCCTGACCAACAAGACTGAGACGTATCCCTTACCCGACAGACAAATGAATATACAACATTAGTAATACATGATGTAGGATACCTTCATTATATCGTGGGATACACGTTTCCTTGAGAATAAATTAGCAGTGCGTCGTATGCTTCTGTAATCGTTTTTATTTACATACTCGTAACTTATTACGAAATTTATTAAGATTTTATTTCATGGGCTTTCATTATTTTACGCGGAACCATAATTCTTTTTCTAAAATAAAAGTAGCCTAAGTTACTCCTTATAACATTAACTATCTGTCAGTGAAAGTCCCGTTAAATTCGGTCCAGTTGTTACGGCAGACAAAAATTTTAAAACTATTTTTTTGTTATTAGTACCGTTTATACTTTCACATGTGATTAGTAAATATCCGTTATTTTAACATAAAAGATACTTAAATTTTATTCTTTAATATTTAATTTTAAAAATTTTTGAATTTAATAGACACTTTTAATTATTTAAAAAATCTAAACTAAGTCTCTAAACTGAGCCTGAGCTACTCATATAATAGTTTTGTAGTCAATTATCATACAAGCTTAGATGAACCGCAGTAGGATATTTATAATTTTATAGACGAAAGGCTGTTAGGACCTTAGACATCAAATTTCGGATACCAATATTGAATTAGAATGGTTTGATTTATCAATTTTTATAATAAAGTGGCCACGAGCTTCCAAACGGCAATCGACGTTATTTTTGGGGTTAAGCGGTGAAATCGATCGGTAAAGCCTTTTAAAAGTAATTCCATAAAACAGTTTTTCAAAATTTTTATTTTTGAGATTTCTCAAAATCTACTCGTCCGAATCATTTGAAAACTACTAGACAATCATTTTCAGTTTGTTTTTAGGTGACTGTCATATTTTAATTGTAAAATTCTCAGTATTTCCGTTAGATACAGTTAAACTACTATTACTTTTGTAGTCTATAGATTATGAGGAATAAATCGACATCTATTTTATTAAGTTACGCCACAATTTGTGGTGGGCTGGTGGGCCCATTCTCCGTAAAAAAGATATTATTGTCTTCTTTATTTGTACGTTTTAAATAATACGTATTGAAATTCTTTTTTCTAGCGTAAATGTTTTTGGTATAATATTAGCTGACTAAAATCTTAGTATTCTTTGCTTTTATCTTATTTCTTAAAATTCTCAATATTAATACTAGTCTTGCGAAATTTAAGATTTTTTTTAAAACTGTCTTTGCGAAACTTAAGATTTCTCATGGTCACTCCTCAGAATACAGAAAGAACCAGAAGCCGCGTTCAACTGTATTTACATGCCGCGCACTGTGTCCAAAAACAAAACGAACGTCCCGCGCCCGTCCCACTTCCCACCCGCGTAATATTGCTAGCTCAGAAAGTATTTATAATATTTACCACTTTTTGGGGTAAACGTTAGAGGTAAATTAATAATGATAAAATTATTATTATCCATTCCATATTGTATTAATATTATATACATAATAATCTCAAGAAATAAAAGTAACTACATTAAATAAAACAAGGTTTGAGAAAGGAACCAAAACATTTAATTTCCTTTTTTGATGAGTAAGCTTTTTAAAATATTGTCGTCTAGAATTAGAACTAATCAGGAGAGATTTACATTTAGATAAATAATGAAATCTTATATCTAGATATTTTTCAATCACAGCCCTTATGAGATTGTTTCTGTGGCTTAGACCATTTATATGACTATCCTCAATCGGAAAAATGCTATTTTTTCCAATGAAGTCCTTGTAAATTGAAATGACGATAGCTAAACGTTGAAAGTTTGAACTTATTACGATATCTTCGTTTGAAATTCTCCGGACATGCGCTTCACAAATACAACATATGTCATAAATACTCTGGGAAGGGAAGCAAAGACCACCTCTATTTTTTAAACCGATCAGTTTGTGAAACCATTGGACATCAGATGCTAACATTGCTTCTATACAAAATTGACATTTTATGTGCTTTATTAGATAATGAGCTACACAACCCGATATATAACCTACGATATATTTTGACAAATCTTGTAGCTGAGGCAAATCAGAAGACAATAATTTTGCGATACTGCCCCCATTTTCTTCAATAGGTGATGTTGAATTTTGATTAAATAGCTGATCGTTATCTTCGTATCTTTGCGAGTGTGCTGAGAAGTTAATTGCTTTAGTAGACGATGAACAACTTAATATGCCTATGTTTTCAAGGGGTATACAATTGCCGCTATCGGAGGCTTTAAGTTCTAGATGACATAATATTTTTCGATAAATACCTTTAAATTGTTTTGCATTAGGGTTGTCATTGTGGCCCCCCGTGCATTCGTATCATTCCAAAGAGTAGTTCTAAATGGTCCTGGCTGCATTTATATGTTGGTATAAATACAAGCATATTGTTGGTCTCGACTAAACTCTCATATAGTGATTGCAGACTCTCAATACATATTAGAATACCAAGAAAACCAGTTTTGCACGCACATTCTAACACCGGTTTATAACTTTTTATTATAACTTCCACGTGTCTTTCATCTTTCTTAATTTTTCTTTTAGTAGTATTTTTAATTTTTAACCCACGAATATACGTTTTCATTAAATCTAGAAAATTAAATATCATTTCTTTATTGCGCTTGTTCAATGGTTGCTTATAATCAAATTGTTTCATATTACGGGAGTTAAATATATCAAAGAGGTCATTCATGTTTTGTACAAACGTTTCAGTTGCTTTTGAATTTTTAAATGCAAACAATTTTGCATCCTCTCGACAAAATTTTAACGCTGTTGCGACACTTTTACTTAAAACTTGACTAGCAAGTTTAACTTTCATAATATTGTTACGGAACATAATATGCCTACGTGTAAGCTTATTTGCAATATGAAGTCCTTCATTTTCTTGGAGTTTGTTTAATTCACATAACAGATTCCAATTGATTTCTTCATCGTTTTTATCTTGGATATATTTTTTAGATTCGAAGTGGTTTCTTATAAGTTTAAAGATGTGAACGGGGTCTAAGAAAACAGCTATATTAGACTTGTCTACGGGGTGTTTAAAAGTGGTCCTCAATTCATTTTTAATGTCTATTTTACACCCTAGTAATTTCATTGCCGTTATGTTTGTTGCATGCCCATCAAACGTTAAAGATACTACTTTAACCCCAGCATCATGGCATTTGATGAGGCATAATTTAATTAAATTAACTTTTTGTTCTGCATTTAAACCATGCACCAAAAAATATCCCAGAGGCAATTTAAAATTGTCATTAATTCCATTTAATAATAGAACGTACGCCTCAGATGCTAAGGTTTTGCACTCTTCAGAATTAGCGGTCCCCATATCGACATATCCACAATTTTTTTTCCCATCCCACAAACTTTGTTGTCTGATGGACATCTCATCAACAATTAGCGAACAGATAATGTTACGCATGGAAGAAGAAGCTTTCTCCTTTAAAGCTATAAACGATTCATCTGAGAATCCAGGCTCTCCGCTTACATTGGAGTACCATTTAGACAACGTTTTCGGGTGTGGAAGGCACGTGTCAAAAGTAGCCCTTACATACCTATAGGCAGTCGGTGAAAGAAAATTTAATGTCAGACAAAACTTTTTTTATGGTGGCATTGTACTTTGGTTTCTTTTTTCTCAGGACGCATTTTTTATAAAGATTATTAAAAATATCAGCTGCTACAATATTTGACGAAAGTAGGTCATAAATATCATCGTTGACATAGCGATTATTTTTCAAATTCGTTAGGACACTTTTTAAAGATTCGTTCTTTTTTACAAGACGTTTATTTTTTTGTTGTAATGTTTTAATTCGCCGGACATGTGTCTTACAAATTAATTTTTTGCTGCGTAATTGGGATCTTAGTTTCGCTTTTTTCGGCGTATCAAATATATAGTCTAAATCAGAAATATTCACATCACCAATCTCTGAGTTTGATTGAACAGGCGAAGCCTGAAATCAAAAATCTTAGTTTATTATTCATATCATGTAATATTAGAAGGTCCAGCAATAAAGAAGGACAAAGAACGCATTCACTCGGAAATATTAATAAATGTAAATAAATCGGTAATGGTGTTATACTAAAACTAACTCCATCCAAAGCTTGTAAAAAAATAGGTAATGATAATATACGTACATTTTTAGATGTTTCAATGCATAACTCTGACGCTGTTGTTGCCATGGCCAAATGCTGAAATATTATATTATTATTATTTCATTTTAAATTACTCATAATATTGTACGAGTTTTCCGCCCGTGGCTGCCAAGTGAGATAAAATATAATTAATGTAAATATAATGAAACTATAATTATCTACCTTATTTGGAAAAGCTCCCTTCCTAAGCCTTCTGAAACCTCGCTTTGTTTCATAAAAATATTTGTCATCAAAATGCATTGAGCAAACTACGCTTCGCTTTGACGGTTTCCAAAACTCTTCTAGCCGTGCTCTTTGTATAATTTTAGTCCACTCCGTTTTCCTTTTTTCATCAGCAGGGAAACTAAAATTTATCAAATATCTATAATATTATAACAATATGGAATTAATTGCAAAAATAAACAGTATTCTCGCGAGGGAAATGTCCGTATATTATTATTTTGTTGAAAAAGTTCACTTTAAGCGATTTTAAAAAAAATAATAATACTAAATACCTTATAAATATACTATCTACACATATATGTGTGTGTATGTAGACAGTATAATATATATATATATATATATATATATATATATATATACACTGTCTTTATCTATATATCTATTGTCTACATATATAAACTTATATTAAAGCTCAGTTAGATATTAGAATTACCAACGCTAGTAATAAAATATTAACGCCAACATAACAAAGTAGTTAAATTATTTCTAGTAAATTATATTAATACTGTTTAATATCACAACTATATGGCCTTTAATAATTAAAAGTAGGGAAAAACAAAACTGTTATACTGGCAACACTTACAAGATTGACGCATCATTCTCTAATACAATTACGAACAAAATAAATAATTCAATTCATAAATAAAACGTTATCTGAATGAGCTACTTACACATGAAATGTGATCCCATCCTTTTTCTTCTGGAGCCCAACAACATTTTTACAGGTAGGAATGGCACAAGACGGCATAATTTAATTAAATTTCACACTTGCAAAACACGTCACACCATACGACGTTCACAGAGTGACTATTCGCCTGAACGTGAAAGTACACCATTTTGGAGTAGTTTTCGTTGCCTCAGTTTTTAAGCGCGTTTGCGGCTTCTGGTTCTTTCTGTATTCTGATGGTCACTCTTCATAAATTCTTTGTGTGACTCATTGCTTACAACTAAATCAAGTTTCAAGGTTGTGTGTTAGCTCAGTTTAGGCAATACTCCATATTATGAAGTCGAAAATTAAAACGGAAAATATAAATAGAAAAAGAACTTGGTTCTTTCGCGTAGTTTTCTGTAATATTAGACATAAAGGTAATAGTTAAAATTGTGTACCAGGCACCACTCGGCTAAACATGTAAATTGTAAAAATTTAAAATCTACGCTTTAACTTACAAGTACTTACATATTTTTAATGTTTTGTACGTATTTTTTTTCTTTAATTGAAATTACTAGTGTACAGTTGACGATAGACTGACTGACGAATGTCGTTGAACTAGAGAAACAACTCAGATTCGAATCCCTGACGTAAAAAAAAGTTTTGCACATTGAAGTAACACTACTATTATTTATTCTGTGGTAATATACCTACTTCAGTGGCTCTTTACTACCGACTCGATAAGGTCACGCTATCCGCTCCCATTAAAACTCGTTTATTATTCTTATACCGGACTTATACGTGAAAAGCACATTTGTTTATAGAGAAAACACTATAGGAATAAAAATTATTTTATTAAGTTTTGCAATAATTATAACTTACTTTATGCCAGTGTTACTTACTTTTAGTTATTTTATACCAAAACTACAATTCTATCTGTTGGCAAGCGGAGATGATGCCCTAGATGGTTAAATGCACCGTCCTTTTGGCTTAACTTGTTTTATAATCGAACAGAAAGACAGACGCTTAAAACAAGTACAGAGGGACTTCAAATCATATCACGGAAAATAGAAACCAGGGTGAGCGTGATCCTTTTTGCAGTGAAAAGACACGCTTGTGTTTTGAAGACAAATCTCACAAGACTGCCACCATTCAGCGATTGCTTGCAGTGGGAAATTCAAGTGAGCATAACACGATCATTTATAACGGCTGTTGGCCTTAATTTCATTCTATTTCTGGACATTCGTTAAATTGTTTGTTAAGAATATAACCTACTTGAACGTATTCGGACGAGACGGATCAGTGGACGCTATAAATAACAAGTGGAAACTGTCCATGGGACCAAAATTCTCCAAGACTTGACAAACCCAAAAACTCTGCGATCACACTCTTAATCGCATTGTTGTTAGGTGGTAACTGAAGCTGTCGTCTTCAACAGGTACAACTGCATACAGGCGTCTGATCAGATAAATATATAATAATATCCTACTACCTAATAGATAATATAATATATTATCTATTTATCTTACTATATATATATATATATATACAGGGTGTCCGGTGGCAGAATTAGGATTTAAATTTCGAACTGTTTTCGAACCGTTAGCGGAGGGGCGGGCGGGGGGGGGGTCACGTTCGATTCGTCATTCGTGCGGGTTCCTTAGTCACGATGTCGCAGTGGACGGGTGAACAACGTGCGTTCGCAATCGAAGCTTATTTTAAAGCAAACGATTCCTGTGCTATTGCTCGTCGAAGATTTTGTTCGCGGTACAATATCCGACGGTTACGTGATGCGCCAAGCGAAAATTTGATTCGATTGTGGGTGCGGAGGTTCAGAAAAACAAGTTCAGCAGCAAATAATCCGCGGCCGGGATCCAGCAGAACGTCGAGGACTGATGACAACATCGAACTTGTCGCAAACAGTTTACGCGATAACCCGCGACTGTCCGTGCGTAAGAGAGCGGCTGCTCTAGGGCTCCCAAAAACGATTGTGCACGAAATATTGAAAAAGGACCTTAAACTTCACCCCTTTAAAATTCAAATTGTGCAAGCGCTTAAGCCTAATGATTACAATTGGCGCAAAAGTTTCTGCGAAACAATGTTGCAGCGATTTCGTACAGTGAACACAATCTTTTGGAGCGATGAAGCCCATTTTCATTTAAATGGAAGTGTAAATAAACAGAACTGCCGTTATTGGTCACCTAAAGGACAGAACCCGCGATTGAAACATCAACAGCCACTTCACAGTCCCAAAGTGACGGTTTGGTGTGCATTGTCAAGCAGAGGAATAATCGGACCCTATTTTTTTGAAAATCGTCAAGGACAAGCCATTACTGTAACCGGCGTTTCTTATCGGCGAATGCTTAACGATTTTTTCCTGCCAATATTAAGAGAACATCCTGCCTACAGTTCACAGACATGGTTTCAGCAAGATGGCGCCACGCCTCACACTGCTAGAGAGACCATGGCGCTTCTTCGTGATTTGTTCCCTAACAAATTGATAAGCCGTTTTGCTGACATCCCCTGGCCACCCAGGTCGCCGGATCTTACCCCCATGGACTTTTTTCTGTGGGGGTACCTCAAAAGTAAAGTTTATGAAACCGCCCCACCGACCATCTCAGCATTAAAAGAAAATATCGTTCGCGAGGTTAATGGCATCCCGACGTCCCTTCTCCAGCGAGTGGCGCGCAATACTGAAGCCAGATTCCAAGAGTGTGTCCGACGTGATGGTCAACATTTAGACGAAATAATTTTTAAGAAATAAAACCCGCACTTCCCTTCTTTGTTATAGTCATTGAAATAAAAAAAAATATTTTGCAGTTTTTTTATTATTTAATTTTGAAATCCTAATTCTGCCACCGGACACCCGGTATATATATATATATATATATATATATATATATATATATATATATATATATATATATTGCTGTATAGGTCTGTGACTAACTATGACATTGGGACGTCAAACATCTCAGTCCCCCCCCCGTGACCATGGTTGCTGTAAAGCATCTGAAACTTCGGGATAATAAAAAATAAATAAATTAAAGTTGTAATTAAAACTAAGGGTGGGCCGAATATTCGTTTTATATTCGGTATTCGGCATATTCGGCAGGTTTACCGAATATTCGTATTCGGCCGAATATTCGGCTAAATCACCGAACATTCGGTAAAGTGGTACCTACTCAAAGTATCCACTGTATGAAAATGTACGATTTGAGTAATGCCATATCTTTCATAATTTTGCTGTTGAAAGTATATTTATTTATGGCTTAAATCTACCTATATAGCGTTATGTTTTCGAGGCGCTGTAGATTTATTTCCAATTATAGCAAATAGAAAGCTTGATAAAATTTTGTTTGGAATCAAACAAAGAAACCTTACATTACAGTCGTCAGTTTCTCTATAATTGCTCTAAATAGTAGATCTCCTGCCACTCATTTTCATCATATACTTATCAAATTTCACCAAGAATAACACAACGAAATCCTTTTTTTCTCACAAAAATAGTCAAAACATAAGCATGTGCCGGCAATTTGCTCAATACTAGATGATGCAATTACATGTCAGGTGTGGTAGGGGAGCGAGGGGAAGGCTCCGGCGCTAATCCCGCTCGCTTTATGGTAACTAGTTTCGACATAAATTGGTTAGGTACCGAGGTAATCCTGCCGAATAATGTTCGGCCGAATATTCGGTTCGGTAAAAATTTTACCGAACGTTCAGCGAATATTCGTATTCGGTGAAATTCATATTCGGCCCATCCCTAATTAAAACGTGATAAAATCCGTAAATAACAGTAACAGGACACTATATCTCCGAATCTCTTCCCCGCTGCATTGGACGATTTTTTGTAAACATCGTACTGAACGAACGTCACTATACGAAACACAACAGTATTAAGCTGCTATATTACGCTGGTATTCTGTGAGAGCGTGGTCTTACCCGGTCGAGCGGACCTATTCGTGCTACAACCATAATATAGCTGCAGCGTGGCTCTGCCAAGTATGAAAATTCACGACCTTTAACTAAAATGTTATTATTTATGTAACAAGCATTGAATACAAAAATTGGAGCGTAGAATAGGGGATGTCTCACATCGAAAGGCTATATTATTCGTAGATTACTGATGCGATATATCCACCCAGTATTTCCCGTGCGAGTAGCCTTATGAGGTACAGCTTCGTGTGATGCAGTGAATGCAGATCGCATTTCAAAATGTAGATGCGTTGTCATCAGTGTAAGAGACACCAGAGGCTGTAACGATACGATAACTGTGTAAAAATATCCACTAAATCATATCATCCCGCGGGTGTCTTAAGAGGTGACAGAGAAATAAAACAAGAGATTGGCAGCAGCGAAGTAAAGTACGCCACCTGCTAAGTGTGGTCCTCTATAACACAATCAACGAGGGTAACCCATGTTCAGCAGTGAAGTTTTGATGCGCTGTAATGATGATTAAAATTGAAGTGTCATCAGCCACTTGTATAGACAACTTTACTTCCACGCCACAATAATACGAGGGAAATTAGTAAAATATGTTTACCGTTGAAACTCAGACTACCAAAGCGGTAGTCTTGTTACTACTACTTTAATAGAAAATAGTGAGCAATGCAACACCAACTTTCTCTATAACGTAAACACATCTGTATTTGTCTCTTCAAGTCGTTTAGACTTGCAAACACCGATAAAATCGGATTTGGTTAACCACGCAGACAGGTAAATAAACGGGGCTTTTTTATGTCATAGTTAAAGATGGCAGGATAAAATCAAGAAAGCAGAACACGCTTTCTACGTTTACGTAACCAAATATATTTTTATATTATTAGCGAACCAAAAAAAAAAATACTTGAAATCAACTTCAAACAAAGATGAGTTTCTCTAATGAAGTTTGAGAGAAAATGCCTCATCTTTTTATAGAATAAGCATGACAAACGAGTACACAGTCCACCTGATGGTAAATGGATGCTGTGGCCCATAGAATTCTACATTTATCCTCGATTAAGAATGTTAAAATTCGGATGCGTTGTCACCCTTGAGGACTAAGATGGAATGCCTCGTTTCCAGTAAAATGGATCTCCGTTTCTCTACACTCACCATAA